TTTTTTAATAAGTAAAGAAACGGGTCGTGGAATATAAGTAAGGGTGTGGCTACTTTCATAGCAAGGACGAGGGGGGCTTGAAGGGCTGAAGCACTCCGCAAAATTGAATCTAATGACTACACTTATATATATATATATAAATCTCAGATATTATTTAAAAGCCCTTCTCAAATTAAATTTCTAACTACTAGTCTGACAAGTGTATTTGCAGTCATTTTAATTGCTTTTGCTCCCAACATGCACTGTACCTTGCAGAACTCTTACTTAAACCCTTTGGTCCAATATGTTCCGCTTTTTCTAAAACTCCATCCCAGTTTAAATACAACTTAACCATGACTGCCTTAGTGTCTACCTAGCTGCCTGCCAAGGAGCTTATTTTTAGGTTTCGGTGTATATTTTAAGCTTTCCACTTGAAAGATAGGTCCATTTATTGTTAGAGCTTCTGAAAATATAACTAACATAATTTATGTTCTATAAGGCTTGTTGTTTGTAACATTATTTCATCATGAGGAAGAAGTTAAATAGACTTTGAAACGTTGGCGATTTGTATATATGTATATGTATAATAACCTTAAAAATAACAGAAATAAAAACCAATTTAGTTTTTTACTTCCTTCACATAAGCTTTTTACAATATAAATATTATTAACTTGAATTTAAAATTTTTCTAATCCAATCGATTTATTTAATTTTTATTGCAGGAATTGTCAAGCATGTCCAAGTCGTCCCCTGTATCAGAGAAATCTACTTCTCTATTAGCTCAAATTAAGACTAATTTAACAACTGCTTTTAAAGATTTTGATTTAAAAGAACTCAGCTCATATAATACAGCGGAATTAATAGAACGTATGTGGGCCTTAGGGCCACGTAATTGTGGCACAAATATTTTACTTAATTTAAGTGATTATGAGCAACCGAATCTATGGTACGCACTTAATAGAACAGCAGATGTTGACAGTAGTAGGATTGGCAGGAACACTACTGATGTCCGCTGTAATTATAATAGTTCTTTTGTAAATGGCTTTCAACTGACATCTTCCGCTGGACCATTGTGTGAAGAACCTATGCAAGGCGTTTGCTTTGCGGTATTGGAATGGTCGGTGCATGCAAGTGACGATGAGTTAAATACCAAATCGTTTGGACCCTTTTCTGGTAAGCTGTGAAGACACAATAGAATTATATACAGTATATGAAATATTTATGTGAATTTCTTCTTATAGGACAAATTTTAACAACGGCAAAGGAAGCCTGCAAACAAGCATTTCAAAATCAACCTCAACGTTTAGTCAGTCCGATGTACAGTTGTAATATAGTAGTGGATGCTGAAGTATTGGGTGAGTAAATAAGTTTTATACAGACGCAATTATATTTGAAATTTTATTTTATTTTTATAAATAGAAATATTCATTTATTACATTATTTTAATGCAAAAATTTTAAATTTAAATTTATATTTTTGTTCATAAATTACTTACTAGTAAATGCAGCCTACATTTAAGCATATAATAAATAGTTTTATGCTAAATATTAAATTTAAACTGATACGGTGTTAGGTTTGTAGAATTTTACCAATAATAATTTTCTTGGGAAAGAAATTAGTATTTCTCTAACTCAACACCAAACAAATTAATTAAACAATTCTGCGCATTTAAAATTATTTAATTAATTCGTTACTTATAAAATCGTATCGTATACCTAAAACATATAGAAGTTATATGTTTGAATTTTACATATTAAAAAAATGTTAAATGCCACTTAACTAAATTAAATATAAAGTTTAGATTAATTTAAAGTATCTTGCAGTTAGTATATTCTGTCGACAAAATATGCTAAGTTCTAGTTAGAAGATTTGAATGAAATGCCATATTTTTTAATATGCCTTCTCTTTCCATTTAAATATATATAAAGTATTAGATATTAGAAATTTTTGCGTTCAGTCACAGTAAGTTTCATTGAAAATTTTATAATTTGAAATTCTTTTTGCTTAGTTTGGAAATCTTAATGCTTGTTTAAAACTCTTAAGTAAAACTAAATTAAATTAAAATCAGCAGAGCATGTTTAGTCCCAAACAATTGTCTGCTGAAACTCCAACACACGATCCCATGGAAACTCAGGCGTGTCATCATCTAGATCAATAGTATTTTCAGCGAGAGAGCGTTTCTCACGCTTATTTTCTTCACTTTGTATGGTTGTGCTCGAGTCTGCACTAATGGTCACACCCAGGTCCGCTGCTGAGCTGCTGCTGTTAATTTCACTGTCAGCTGCTGTCATTGTGGTTCTCGCTTCTTCTGTGGGTAATGTACTTGTGCTGATAGAGCTTTTGTTGTCTTCTTCTGTTGCTGCTTCTATAGATGTGGCTCCTTTGCGTTCATTATTTCTGCCATATATACCATTTTGGAAATTATTGATCGATTCTGGACGATAATTCGATGAACTTAGTGGTGAGCTGTGTGAGCTTTCTGGTCTATTCAGATATTGATATCCGCTTTGATGTTGATTTGAGTATATATCTTGACCATGATAATTACTGCTGGAAGATGAACCGCCATTATTTAGCCCATATGTTGGACGTCCATAATTATCCTTATTATTGAATTGACTGTTGCTTAAGAAACTGCTACTGCTGCTTTGTACATTTTGTGGCCTGTAGAAGGGTTTTTGCAGCTGGTAACGTTTTGGAGGTTGAGCCGATGGCTTACGCACTGAGTAACCGGGTTTAACACACATCATGCCAAATACACGTATGCCTGGTACGCTAGCATAGGTTGGTTGATCATGTGCCATTGGTCCCTCTGAAATAAATTAACAAAAATTTTAATTATAAAAATATTTTACTATTAATTAATCATGTTAATTGTTAAAGGTGTGGAATGTTAGTAGAGTTGAAAAAAAAGATTTGAATCTGCAGGAGTTAGAAGGAAAAAATATTATTTATCTATAGTGAGTAGTCCTATTCATACTGGGTGCAGTTTGGAGGTTGATCATTTTTCAGTTGACACCACCGTGAAGTATGAAATTTTTTTTATTTTATATAAGTTTAAAATATATAAAATATTTATCTGTAGTAGTATATAGGTATACAACGCATATATATAAAGTTTTACTTAGTATTATTAATATCTATTGCGAAACATATTTTTACTAATATATCCTTTAATAACATACAAGATGTCTGTATTCCGCATTATGTTTCTGTTATCATAGGTATTTTTCGCAAACGTCTACTATAAATGTATTAGTAACTATAGACATATTTAACAAATGCATGTCTTTGGAAACATCTTTAGTAAAATATATACTAAAAATATACTAAAGACTATTCTTTCATTCGCCCTTCATACAAATCAATGAAATTCGGAGATAATTCTGAGGAATAATAGATTGCCAATGACAAATGACTTCGTGAATTGGTTTCGGCATATTTCGGTACTATTAAGTATTATTATCAGTTATTATCAAGTAAATATTATTATTCTGAGTTGATAGGTACAAGCTTTCGAAAGCATATGCGCTGTTCTATTCCGAATATTCACCTGGGGAAGCCTACTTAGTAAGCAATTATTTTCAGTGATGCAGAAGTGGGTTTAGAACGTAAATCCGATTGATCTTTGAATCAAAAATATCAGTGCTTCTTGCGTTGATTTGAAGTATGTTTCTACTGGGTACGTTATAGACCAGTTAACTTACTTGAGATTTCTTGAATTACTTGAATCTTCAGTAAGTTAATTGGTCTAACGAAGCCAGTGGAAACGTATTATTAGGTATAAAGCTACTCACGGCTATAAACACGATAATGCAATTCGCTTTCATTCATTAGATGCGATTTGTTAGATTATCGAAACAGTGAATATATTAGTGAAATACTATATAGTAAAGGCTTCCAATTTTTTGTATGTAAACCAATACGCCGTGTAAAGTGCCAAAAGCCCTGCGATCTTTGGACTTAAATTATTGATATGTTCTACAGTTGATTTAATGTTGAGTGAAATCGCCTAAATCTGATTAAATCTAAATTCCTTGTTAGTTACCTAATAACTAGTTGTTTTTGTTTGTTTTATTTATTGTTTTAATACCTTGTATAATAAAACTAGCTACCTAAATGTAGCTATAGCAATATGGTATCTTTGAAAAATAAATTATTTAATCTAATAATTGTGTTCATATTTTTTACTACAACTCTTGTTGCTCCAAAAGTAATGTTGCTTGTTACGATTCCAATAAAAACAAACAATCTAAAATTTAGTTCCCAGAAACCCATATAATCTGTTATACCTTTAAGGGTTACTTGTAGTACTAAA